TATTTTACATTGATAAGGATTTTTGTGTATTGATACAAAGTTATACTATATGTTTTTCTACTCTGGTTTAGAGTATTGTACATATACACCTCATTTTAAAATGTAAACTTCCAGTCCTTAAAGGCTTTTATTACAAACTGTTTAGGATAATTAAGAAATTAGTAGTCAGTCATCTATAACAATCAAACTTGAAGTCATATAGGTATGTTTTCAAGGTCAAACATATATTTAGATAGGTGATCTTTAAACACTTCAGAGATCTACAGAATATGGCATTCAAGATGCTTTAATAACACAAGTCTTTTCATGACAGATTGGTCTGCTCCTGGCAACACCAATTCCAAAAAGGATGATGGACATCAGAGTACCTCCATATGGAGTTTGCTTCCAAGGTGGCAGATTCATACACTGGGATACGAAACTGCCCTTGCCTTGACTGCTGACAGTATGCTGTCCAAATTAGACAAGCTGGATACAAATGAAAGCAACTGTCAAGACAAGGTGGTACAGTCAGTCCTTCAAAATTCCTGCTTTACAGAAATGTCTGTCATGTTCTAGGCCTGTAGGCTGAAGATGAATGCCCCAATGTTGCAGAGGAACTTTGGGTGATTGTGTAGGCAGCCAGCTGTTTCTGTTATTTTTATACTTTTGGAAGTTGCTTGCTTTGTAATAGTATATCCTTATTAGGTCTTTGATGGTGTTGAAAACTAGACAGTTATAGTTACACTATTCTTTGTTAACCAAATTCAGGGAAAAATTAAAAAAAAGTTACATGAAGTTTGGGCCTGGAGAGATGGCTTAGTGCTTGAGAGCACCAGCTGCTTTTCCAGAGGACCCAGGTTCCTCCAGAACCTATGGCAGCTCACAACTGTCTGTAACTCCTGTTCCAGGAAATCTGACACCCTCATACAGACATATATGCAGGCAAAACACTAATACACATGAGATAGAGAGATGTAAACTTTATATAAAGTTGAGAAGCATAAAAGTTTAAGTTGTTTATCTTTGAACATGTTTTTAGGTCTAAAAAGTTACTTTTTGGATGGTAGTACAGTTATTGTAGAAAATGGCTTAGGTATGAAACTTCGGATTCAAAAAGATAATGGAGTAATTTTTTTCAAAAATGCTGAACATTGTAAATGTAATTCTTCCCTGATAGTTGAAATTATTGTAGATAGTTTTACTAGGTTAGAGTTAAAACTTTTGACAGAAGGGGGAAATGTGAGATATTTTGACGACACTGTGACACTCCAGACTGTCAATTCAGTTTATCTTGAATCAAGGGGTGGAGCCAGTGATGAACTGACCTGAATTAGCCAGAAACCAGCAATTTGGATGGAGACGATGTATAGGAAGGAAAGGGCAGGGACTAGATAGAGTTTGAGCTTCCTTTTGGTTCGAGGACAAGAGGAGACACCTCTCTTGTGATGTATCTAGGCAAAAAGCAAGGTCAGCTGGTTGCTTCTCAGGTCCTCAGTTCTACAAGTTTTTCAGCACCATATCTGACTTGCCATTCTTTGTTGGTAAATAGAAAAATAGGGATTTAATTTATGACTGTATATTGCATCCTCAGCAAAGCCAGGCAGCAGGACCAGAAGCCCTACACACTACAACTTGAGTAGCTGGCAGGGCAGTGACTGCAGGGCCCTCGGGCTGCAGAAAATAATAAAAATATCATTAGATATCAGTGGGGACTTACACTTGCACCATCTGTTTCATGGACCTCTGTGTTTAGTACAGGTGCCAGGCTGGTTTTTATTGCTGTGGCTCTGAAGTGGACGATGGAAATCAGGCATAGAAATAATGTTCTCGCGTTCTTATCAGGCATAGAAATAATGTTCTCGTGTTCTTATTTCCAATAAAACTGGCTTTTGGATGAATTTAATGCCTAGCCACCCTCCTGATTCCCAGGAGCTGAGATGCAGAGGCTCTTCTGTCCGTGTGTCCTTTACAGTCTCTGGTGGAGTTCTGAACCTGAGCTTCTTTCCTTTGCAATCCAGATGTGTATCCTACTCGTCTTGGGGTGCGTGACTGCCAGTCCCCTTCCTCAAACCTTGATTTTAACCTCAAAATCACTCTGAATTTTGCTTTGTGAGTAATTCAGAGTCCTTCCAACCAATAATTCATTTTTATTATTCAAATACTATTGTAACACAAATAATATAAGGTATATATTAGAACCAAACATTACAACCAAAATAACATAATCAAGACAGTGTTACTGAAATGTGATAATAAAATTTTATAAAGAAAATAGTATAACTTTAGTTTGTAACATAATACATAATGCAATGATGAAATTTGAATAGTATAATCAAAATATAATAAAATAACTGAAGAAAATATAACCAAATGATTATAATCAAAGTAATAGAAAATTATTAGGAAAAATAATTTAAGCAATTATTATAACCAAAAGAGTATAACAAAAAAGTATAAGCAAAATAGCATATCCTAAGCACTATCATAAAGACAATATAACAAATATTATGACTCAAATAACGGAGCAAAAATAACTAAAAGCAATCTACTAGAAATATAAGCAAGATGATAAACCAAAGTAATGTTATGAAAACATTATAAAACACCACATATCACCAAAATATTATAATCAAACAAATATAAACAAAATTTTATGACACAAATATAACCAAAGATATAATCAAAATATTATAACCAATTATAACAAGAGTGAAAATAGTGTAACCAAAACAATATAACCAAGATGATATGAATGCTGTCAGCTGTGTGCTGAATTTATATGCCCTTACTCTTTGTTTTAAATCCTGTCTGCCTTGCAGTTGTCAAGTCTGTATTCTTCACTGTGATCCCTGGGATCTGCCCTATTTGTTTTCCCTGAGTCCCTCTCTTGTTTGTTCCTCAGCTTTCACCATCTTGTTCCCTGTGTTGAGGTAACCATAGACCCTCATCCCCTCACCTCCTCTTCATCACCAATTTCTACTCCTCGCCTCTCTCATTTGCAATCTGCGTTGTTTCCCTGTGGTAACAGCCTGCATTTCATGGGCTCCCCTTTCTATTTTGGTAGTGGTCTCAGGTCTCCCCACCATTATACTCAGGGTCTCGGTACTTCCCATCAGCCCCTGGTGAGATTTCTCCATCATCTTGTGGGATACCCGGCACTGGAGAACCTAGCAGACTATTGGGGAGGATTTCTGACAGCAGTTTCCAAAGTCATTGCTTATGCCCAGTATGAAGGCCTGACTTCATCCTCTGCCTTCAGTCACTCCTCTATTCCTGGTCCCCTGGTATACCCCAGAGCCTGCAGTGTCTTTTGAAGATTTTCATCCTATGGTTCATGAATCCTGAATGTTGTGTGACATCACAGCTTCCTGTCCTCAGTTGCTGGATTTGATGGCTTTTTTGGAACTCTCCAAGCTGTTATGGGATCCAATGAAGGGTTGGCAAGGGCCTTTGTAGGCTGCCATCCTTGAAGCCTGAGATGCACTGGCTGCATTGGTTTCCCTCTTCACGTTGCTGGAGCATGTCCTCTCCCTGGATGCTTTATCCTGATTGTATAAGGAGAGCCCAGGTGTGGATGTTGGATTCTGCAGCTTCTTGTACCATGAGGAACAGCTCTGGTTTCTGGTGAGGGGAAGAAATGTCAGGGGTGGGCAGGAGCTGTACAAGGACAGAAAGAAAAATGTTGTTAGGATAAAAGACCATCTCCTGTACACCATATACAAAGTTAATAGTGGAAAAAACTATGGAAGATCATGTCACTTCTCACTGCTACAAGTGACAAACCCCCAAGTAGCCCTTCTGGTTTTGGAATCCCTGAATCCTCTCTCTCTGTGTGTGTGTGTGTGTGTGTGTGTGTGTGTGTGTGTGTGTGTGTGTGTGTGTGATGAGTTTCACCATTCTAGTAAAGTGTGTGTGTGTGTGTGTGTGTGTGTGTGTGTGTGTGTGTGTGTGTGATGAGTTTCACCATTCTAGTAAAGTCCTGATGATGAGGTAAAATTTCTACCAAAAGGGGTTTATCTTTCTTCTTTTTTTCCTTCCTTCCTTCCTTCCTTCCTTCCTTCCTTCCTTCCCTTTCTTTTGTCTTTGAAACAGATATCTCTGTGTAGCTTTGGATGTCCTGGAACTCTGTAGACCAAGCTAGCCTTGAACTCACGAAATCTTCCTGCTCCTACCTCCTGAGTGCTGGGATTAAAGGTGTGCACTGCCACTACCCAGGTCAAATGGGTTTATAACTCATTCCTCAACACTCTTGACCTCCTGAGATAGATGGGGCTCTGTCATACCCTGAAGCATGGCAGGGTGTTTAGTAAGTTATTTTAGCACAACTATATGCCAGGATGTAGAGGGCCTTCGGCATTCACTGGTGTTCTTTCCCTACTTTGTAAATCTAAACAGAAAAGGAAATTTGAAGTAACCAAAGTGCGTCTAGAGGTATGGTGCCAAACAGGGTTGTTTCTGGCTGTGTCACGGTTGTGACTTCATCACAGAATTCCTTGTCCACTCCCTCCTTTTCCTTCCCAGAAATCTCACTGTTTTCAGAAACTAGAGATGCCATGACTTCATTTACCCATGGAAATGGGACCTGGTCATGTCCTTCAGGGGCCCAGGTCAGTGAACTTCACTGTATGTGGGAGCTAAACATACAAAACCTAGGGGCAGAGGTTGGAATTTCTTTTCTCTCCCAAGAGACACATTTTAAATCTAGATACATTTTAAAATGTCACCTGAGCTCAAGCAGGAGTTCAAGCCTAGACAATGTCAGTTTAAAACCTTTTCTGACAGTTTCAAAAAAAAAAAAAAAACCCAACAACAAAAAGGACATGCAGATCGAAGCCTTGTGTCCTGGATTGCATGGTCATTTGATGCAATCAGTTGAAGAATTGGGATTTAAACACTTCCTGTACTCCAGCAGTACTCATACCCCGTGTTCTCCCATCCAAGAGGACACTCCAGACAGGGGACAGCAGAGGACAGAGACAGCCCATGCGTGTGGAGCCCCTGGCCAGACCTCCGCTCACCTAGCTCACATGCAGCCCCGTGCTCCACGCCCTGCTGATGGTTCCCAGGCCTGGGACCCTAAGGGGCGCTCTGGCGCACCCGGCTCCAGACCCAGTGCTGTGGGTTCTGGTTCTGGATCTGAAAGGGAAGTGAGAGGTGAGTCCAGGAGGACAGGCCAATACTTGTTCTTCTCTGGGCGTGACCCTGTCCACCCATTCCCCTGGCTGAACCCTGGAGGACCTCTTCACATTCCTGTCGTGTGACCCAGGCTCGGTAATCTATGACTTGGAGGAACTCCTTCTGCAGCCTTTGGAAGTCCTTGTACAAGTCTTGCCATGTGTCTCTGCCCAGCAGAAATTGAAAGATACTCCTCTTGGATATGGGGTCATCCTCTTCCATGTCACAGGCGATGTAGCTGCCACAGGGAAAAGGAAGTTCATGCCCCTATCTGTGACAGTCAGAGGCAGGTGGGAGCATGTAGCTTTGGAAACAGGGTGGGGAAGCAATCTGCTCAGGGTGACCCTGATCTTGACCTTCTCCAGGGCATCCTTGATACAAAGTCTGCAGGACCCATCAGAACTCAGCCCACGAAAAGGAACCTTCCATTTCTTCCTTAACTATTTTCATGATGTCAGGGCCCTCTATTCCCACCCCTACATGCTCCCCTGAAAGTTTCTACTACTCTGTGGCTATGGGTCCCCCTGAGTCCTGATGGAGCGATGGAAGCCTCAGGAGTGGGACTGGACAGATTGGTCCCCATGAGATGCTCACAGGGCCAGGAAGAAGTGGATCCTGTTGTAGAGATGTCCAGGGAGCCCAAGTCGGCCAAAGTACTCCACCACCATAGACAGCAGGTACTGTGTGGGCAGAGAGCTGGTTAGAGACGGAAGACAGTAGACAAGAGGGCAAGAAATCTCGGGGGGGGGGGCTGGGCCCTCTGCATCTGATCGTTATATTCCAGTGATACGGAATGGGGACTGGAGTCCATTTTATTTGTGAATGTGAGCTGAATGGAAACCTGAAGGAGTTTGGGGCATAGAATAAGGTTGGGCAGCCTGTGTCTCCTGCCTCTGTCCTTGACAGCAGCCCTGGGTTATTCTGGCCTGGGGAAGTCTTATCTTTTCTGCCTCTCCCCTGAGGGCTGTGACTGTAGAACATCTGAGCTTGCAAGTACCTTGTCTGTCACCCTGAAGAAAATGTCAGCTGCCAAGAAGTTCTGGACCACAGGATCCTCTGCAAAGAAAACAAGCATGAGAGGGACTTGGAGTGCCCATCTGATGGGTCACATGTGCTATTGTTGGGTAATGTGTGGCTTCCAGACCTGTCTCTCTGAGATGGCTCCTGAGAGTAAGCAGGCCCTCTCTTAAAAAGGCGTCTCCTTCTTATCGGGAACATAGTTTGCCCTGTCATTGACACGGTCATGTTGTTTTGTATTTTGAAGTTTGCAGTTATTGATTCCTGAGCTTGATCAGTGATGGCATTTGATACTTTTCTCCACCAAAGGATTTAACATAGCTTTCCAAGGTAAATTTTCCTCCACTCAGTACCTTAGTTGAGGCCTTAGGTCTCTATGCCCTCACAGTCTGCCATTTACCATATTGGGACTGTGCCATGTTCCCCTGCTCTGTGTGGTGCCTGAGTCCTTGGGCAGAGATGGAGTGTTCATAGCTCCATGCTTACAGCCTCCCCCTTCCCTTCTTTCCTGGGTCTCCTCTCCCTCTGAGGTAGTGACCAGCTTTCCGTGCTCCACAGGAGTTACCTATCTTTAAGTTCCTTCCTGTAGGCACTCTTTTCTAGTTTAGACTTGTAGGATCCCATGTGTCCTTCGCCAGCACTGCCCAGACAAAGAACTCTTGCACAGGATATGCCGTTCTGCAGTTTCCCTTAGTCTGAACTTGTGTTCGAGTGGTTAAAGCATTCTGTTCCTCTGATCCCAATATGGCTCCCCAGAGCCACGTGTATGCACTGAACACAGGAGTCAGCTGAGGAGATGGAGGAACTGAATGTATGTGTATATGGTTTCTTTCATTCGTTTCAAACAGAGTGAGTAGCTGCCTGTGACTGATGCATGTTGTATGGGTAATTTACCTGCCACACTTGGTTCCAGACCTATGACTTGATTTCATCTCAGAGAGACCTGTGTCTTACTCCTGTCATCTTCCTGCCCCACCTGTAGGTGCCATGCCCTTTTGATCCCCTCCTGCAATGCCATCTAGAGCTGATAGCAACTTTATTTGTAAATGTTTGGGCTTTTGTGTGTCTCCCCTCTAGTGAATCCCCAAAGCTGGGGTCAGTGACATTTGCTGCTCCCTTCTTGACTGGTGGTGTGGATCTATGAGTAGAGAAGCACCATGACTTCCATATTCAGGAGCCTGGTTTCTTCCCTTTGAAGACACCACAAAGGGTTCATCTCTACATTACCAGGGGCCTTTCATCTGTATCAGGTGACAGCCCATGAGCACTGTGGCGAGGTTTGGACCACTGCTCCACACAACTACTACTCATTGGTGAGTGTGCAAGCATCAGTTGATAGAACCCACCCAGAATTCGGTAGAAGGCTTCAAGGTCCTCAGGCTGGTAACTGAGTCTTCTCTTCTTGTTTATGATGAGTTTTGTCCCCTCGATGCGCTCCACAGTCCATATGCTCCTCTTGGTCCTCCTCCTGTAGAACTTCAGCTCTGAGGCAGCTTCAGGGGTAGCTGCAGAGGTGGCTGTGCCTGAGGCAGCTTCAGGGGTAGCTGCAGAGGTGGCTGTGCCTGAGGCCTGAAAGCTGCTGTCCTGGGCAACTGTGGAGATAAAAGCTTCTCAGTAAGCATGGATGTGTCCATAGTGTGTGTGTGTGTGTGTGTGTGTGTGTGTGTGTGTGTGTGTGTGTCCATCCACTGGCAAGTTCCTGACCATTACTGAAGAACTGATCACTTCATGAGGATAGAGTGACAAGTAGTCACTCACCTGCAATTCATTCTTCAGAGACAAGAATGTCCGGGAGTCATAGACACACACCTGCTTTGACATCTGTCAGTGCCCTTGACTTCTGCACTCTCTTCCTCTTGGTTCGATGCTCAGGGACATCCCCTGCAGAGGCATCACTGGAGGCAAGAATGAGGCAGGCTTCTGGATCTGCAGGAAGAGAAGACATCACATGACCACAAGACAGACAACTGGGACATTGCTGGGTTCTTCCTTTTCATAATTCCATGTGACATGTGAAAGAATCTGGGAGAATGGCATTTACTCATCTACAAAGGAGACTGGAAATTGAGTTACTATATTCTGTTCTTTGACAAGCACAGGCTGCTCTCTGGTGCCTCTTTCCCTGGCTCATTCTACCTGCAGGACGTCCCTATAGAGACAGATGAACTTGGTGATTTTCTATCTACCATAGCTACAAAAGTGACCAAAGATGTGATGTCCTGGCTCACTGGCACCTCTTGGTATGACCCTGTAGGACTAGATTTTGGACAGTTTGGGAAGATGGAGGGACTAGGCATAGTGGCCATGCTGTTTCATTCATACTGGGACATGAATATCAAGGGGTATGCATACACATACCGGTCATGATATTCTCCAGTTTCCTTTTGCTTTGTCCCCTCTTCCTCTTGGATCTCTGCTCAGAGACATCCCCTGCAGAGGCATCTCTGGAGGCCTGAATACTGCTGGCCTGTGGAGCTGCAGGAAGAGAAGACCCCACATGAGCACAAGAGGGACATTCTTGGCCAGTGCCGGGCTCTTTGCTCTCATACACATTGAGGGATTTACATGTAACAGCTGAAGGCATCTAAGAGGCATACTCCTAATCCCCGTATGCACTTATCTACAAATGTAGCTTGGAGTTGAGTCCTATGTACCCTTTTTTTTTTTTTTTTTTTTTTTTTTTGCCAAGCACACACTATTGTTTGGCACCTCCTTCTATGAATCATTGTGCTTGTTGGACAATATTGGGGAAACAGATGACATCTCTGATCTTCTGTCGTAGCTATAAAAAGTAAACAAGAAGCGATCTCCTGGCTAGCCGGGACACCCCTGCCATGCCCCTGTAGACCTTGACTCAGGGTATTTTGGAAGAGAATTGGTGCAGGTGTGGTGCCCATGTTGTTTCATCCTTCATTCATCTTGAGACCAGGGGAAAGTCCAAGGGCCACACACACCTGTCTTCACTTTCCTGTGCCCTTTTTTCTTTTGACCCTTCATTGGCTTCTGAAGCCTTGGTGTGGAGTCTGAGGTGACTGGTGTAGACATAAAGGAATCAATCCTCTCTTCTTTGGTTCCGAAGCAAAGCAGGGGCCCAGTCTGTTTCCAACTATAGGCTATTTCTCTGTAACCTCCTCCTTCTAAAACAAAATAATAAGAAAAGTTGCACGAGTAGTCACATTTTCAATGGTAGCTGAAAGTTTTTTCTTTGGTGCTGATGGCACCTGAATGTAGGACTTCACACATGCTGGAGAAGTGCTCTCCCATGGAGCTATATGCCCCCATTCTTAATTCTTTATGAAAGTAGGATTTAATCAGTGCATAAAGACCTCAGTCAGCCTGGTAGTTTGTGAGGGAAGGCCTATAATTCACCTCCTTTACACATGAGAAGGTGATTTGAGGACTTTCCTTGTGTGTGTCTCTTGGCTGTGGGTGCACCACTGTGGATTTGCCAATGCGAAGATTGGCTACTGAGCATTAGACCTATTTCCAATAGTGTCAGGCTGGATGACCTCACACCCGTTTTCATTGCCCCCACCTCATTCCATGTCTCTGTGAATCATTTCATATCCACAGGAGGTTAAACCTCCCTAAGCATGCAGGCCATGTGTCCCACATCATCTTCCTGGGGCTCCCTCTCAAGGGCAGTCACTGGTAGACAAGACTCCTCTCGAACACCCTCCCTGTTTTCACTTTATTCTCCCTTGTGTTCACATTACTTCCTGCTGTCTGTTTCCCTTAGTCTAAAACCCATTTCCATTCCATCATTTCAGAAGTTGTCCTTCTGGAGACTCCCAGGCGATCTCTGACACACCTCCAAGACTCTCTGAATGAACCCAGTTGAGCCCTGACTTTCAGTCTAGCTTAGCGCACAGTGACACTCACCCGTGTGAGTACCTGCTCCGCACTCGCCCTCAAGGCTTTCTCACAGCTTCCCCAGAGCTCAGTCTCACAACTGTGAGGAGTTCACTGGCGGTAACTAAGTGAACTCAAACATTCTGAAGGTGCTGGTGACATCACACCATTCCATCAGAACTTACTCTCTGGTCTGTTAAAGAAACACACCCTAGGAGCAGGTCATGGGCGTCTGGTGTGAAGTGCTGGAGTCTCCTCTGGACACGTAAGTGATCCTCTCTTGTCTCACTGCCATTTCCTTTTCAGTCTTCACCTTGTTCCTTAGATTTTTTTAAATACATATTTAAAGTTGTATTTTTTTTTTACTGTACTATATGTATGTTTCTACTGTTTGGTATAGTGTGCTTATGCAACTCATTTAAAATGTAGTATATAATTTAAAATTCAGATTAATAGTTGTCTATAATAGTCAAACTTAAAGTCATATTAGGTATGTTTTGAATGGTGATACACAGATGTTTTTAGATTCATAGTTGATCTTCAAACACTTCAAACATCTTTTCACGACAGTGAGACACATTTGCTCTTGGCAGCACTGGATCTATTTTTGAGAAGTCAATGGGCCCTGAAGAAACTCCATATGGAGGGTTTTTTTCCTTTATGGCAAAAGCTAGCCATGTGGTCAAAGAAACTGCCCTTGCTTCAATTGCTGACAGTATACTGTCCAGACTGGCTCAGCAGGACACACACACACACACACACACACAAAAAAAAACAAAACTGTGACTTCCAAACTTTGCCATGACAAGGTAGGACAGTTCTTCATAATTCTCTGATTCTCAGAAATGTCTGTCAGATATACTAGTCCTATAGACCAAAATTGTATGCTTCAACTTTACAGAAGAACCTAAGGTTACTTTCCAGGCCTGTTGTTAGGTAACATTGCACCATTCTGGGGTCTTTGATGGAGTTGAATACTAGATAGTCATATTTAACATTTTATTTAGTTATGATAAAAGGTAAATTAGGTATAAACTTTAGAGTCACAAAGATAAAAGAAATAATAGAGTATTTTCTCTACTTTTGCCAAATAGAAATGAATTGGATATTGTAAATGTAATTCTTACTTAATCACTGTTTTGCTATATATAATTTTACCTTGTTAAGGTTAAAAACTTGATTTTTTAATTATCCAAATAAAGGGAAGCCGGGCGGTGTTAGTGCGTGCCTTTAATCCCAGCACTCTGGAGGCAGAAGCAGGTGGATCTCTGTGAGTCCCAGGCCAGCCTGGTCTACAGAGCCAGGATAGGATCCAAAGCTACACAGAGAAACTCTGTCTTGAAAAACAAACAAACAAACAAAAGACAAATGCTGTGGAATAATCCTTCTGTACACTGTGAATATGTATGACTCTGATTGGTTTAATAAAGAAGCTGACTGGCCAATAGCTAAACAGGATAAGGTTAGGCAGGAGAGCCAAACTGAGAATGCTGGGAGGAAGAAGGACGGAATCAGGAGTCGCCAGCTGATGCAAAGGGAAGCAATACGGACTGAGGAAAGATACTGAGCCACATGGCACAGCACAGTTAAGATAGGGTCAATTTACAAGATAGGTGTAGGCATCTGCTAGTAAGTAAGGAGCCTGAGCTATTAGCCGCTCATTTCCTTTTGTTGTGTTGTCTTTAGTTACTATCATGCTATAATCAAATCATCTTTAAAATCTTATATGTTGATAAGTCAGAATTTATGCCTAGAGATAGTCCATTCCCCTCTCCAATTCTCCAATTCTCTCTCAAAGTTGTTCACCACCATTATGCGTGTTTTCCATATTCATGTGCACTCGCTTATGTGTTTGCATTTAGTTCTGTGCAGTTGTGTGTCTCATGTGTGTGTTTGTGATCTCTATCAAGATGTACACAATTCTATGACAAGGAGCCATCATGGTTCTCTCTTAAAGGATTCTACTGTCCCATTATCCCTGACACCCATTAAATTCATCAGTGTATAAAGCGAGGACATGACTGCTTCAAGGTTTGATTGAGGGGAAGGTTTTTATTGTCAGTATGACGGAGAGCACAGCCAGAGGCCTCTGGAAGAGTTCAGAGCATGGAGAGCAAGTAGACTAAACATGGCCAGCATTTGGACCAGGCCATGAGAGGAGATGGGGAGGTGGGGAGCAAGAGAGAGGAGGAGAGGGGGGAGGAGGAGGGGAGGAGAGGGGAGGAGAGGGGGAGGAGAGGGGGGAGAGGAGAGGAGAGGGGGAGTAGAGGAGAGGAGAGGAGGGAGGAGAGGGGAGGAGAGGGGGGGAGAGGAGAGGAGAGGGGGGAGAGGAGAGGGGGAGGAAAGGAGAGGGGGAGAGGAGAGGAGAGGGAGGAGGGAGAGGAGAGGAGAGGGGAGGAGAGGGGAGGAGAGGGGGGAGAGGAGAGGGGAGGGGGGAGGGGAGGGGAGGAGAGGAGAGGAGAGGGGGAGGGGAGGAGGGGGAGGAGAGGAGAGGAGAGGAGAGGGGAGGAGAGGGGGAGGAGAGGAGAGGGGAGGAGGAGGGGGGAGGAGAGGGGAGGAGAGGAGGAGAGGGAGGGGAGGGGAGGAAAGGAGAGGGGGAGGGGAGGGGAGGGGAGGGGAGGGAGAGGGGAGGGGAGGGGAGGGGGAGGGAGGAGAGGAGAGGGGGAGGGGAGAGGAGAGGGGAGGGAGGGAGGGGAGGGGAGGGGAGGGGGAGGGGAGGGAGAGGGGGAGAGGAGAGGGGAGGGGGGGGGAGGGGAGGAGAGGAGAGGAGAGGGGGAGGGGAGAGGGGGAGAGAGGGAGAGGAGAGGGGAGGGGAGGGGGAGGGGAGGGGAGGAGGGGGAGAGGAGAGGAGAGGGGAGGAGAGGGGAGGGGAGGAGAGGAGAGGAGAGGGGGAGGGGAGAGGGGGAGAGGAGAGGAGAGGGGAGGAGAGGAGAGGAGAGGAGGAGGGGAGGAAAGGAGAGGGGAGGAGAGGGGGGGGGGGGAGAGGAGAGGGAGGAGAGAGAGGAGGGAGGGGAGGAGGAGGAGAGGGGAGGAGAGGAGAGGGGAGGGGGAGAGGGAGAGGGAGGGGAGGGAGAGGGAGAGGGGAGGAGAGGAGAGGGGAGGGGGAGAGGAGAGGGGAGGGGGAGAGGAGAGGGGAGGGGGGAGGGGGGGGGAGGGGGAGGGGGAGGAGAGGGGGGGGGGAGGGAGGAGGGGAGGAGAGGAGAGGGGAGGAGAGGGGGGGGGGAGGAGAGGGGAGGGGGAGGGAGGAGAGGAGAGGGGAGGAAAGGAGAGGGGGAGGGGAGGAGAGGAGAGGGGAGGAGAGGAGAGGGGAGGGGGAGAGAGGAGAGGGGAGGAGAGGGAGGGGAGGAGAGGGAGAGGGAGGGAGAGGGGGGGGGGAGGGAGAGGGGAGGGGAGGGGGAGAGGAGAGGAGAGGAGAGGGGAGGGAGGGAGGGGAGGAGAGGAGAGGAGAGGAGAGGGGGGAAGGGAGAGGAGAGGGAGGAGGAGAGGAGAGGGGGGGGGGGAGGGGAGGAGAGGAGAGGAGGAGGGGAGGGGAGGAGAGGAGAGGGGGAGGAGAGGAGAGGGGAGGAGAGGAGAGGGGAGGAGAGGAGATGGGAGGAGAGGGGAGGAGAGGAGAGGAAAGGGGAGGGGAGGAAAGGGGAGGGGAGAGAGGAGAGGGGAGGGGAGGAGAGGGGAGGAGAGGAGAGGGGAGGAGAGGAGATGGGAGGAGAGGGGAGGAGAGGAGAGGAAAGGGAGGGGAGGGGAGGAGAGGGGAGGGGAGGGAGGAGAGGGGAGGAGAGGAGAGGGGGAGGGGAGAGGAGAGGGGAGAGAGGAGAGGAAAGGAGAGGGGAGGAGAGGGGAGGGGAGGGGAGGAGAGGAGGGAGGAGAGTAAAGGAGAGGAGAGGAGGAGAGGAGAGGGGAGGAGAGGAGAGGAAGACAAAGAGAGTGAATGGCTGAAATGTCAGGGTTATATAGGAAGGTGGGATAGGAAACCCATGAGCTTGAGAAGTTTAAGGTAGAGGCGATATGAGAAGAGCCACAGGTACTGAGCACACCTGGAGGCCAGCTTCTGCTTTGTATGCTAAGAAGCACCACAGATAGCCATTTGTCCTGAGTTTCTTTTGGACCTGACAATCTGACACTCTATCATTTATTTTCCTTTTGGTCATGAGAATATTATGTAATGGGAGAAAGTATATAGCCCAGTAATAGCATTGTTC